TCGGGGGGGGGGTAGGGGAAAGGGGGGGGTGATGCTGCGGGACCAACCCGGCAGCACCCCAGCTGCTCTGCCCCAGCTGTCCCCAAGTTAGCTGCTGCTGAAACTGACCAGCGGCTGACTCGGGGAAGCCCAGGGCAGAGCAGCTCCAATTGTCTGGCTGCCTGGAGCACTTCCAGGTTCCAGGTGGTGCCAGACTAGCAGGAGTGCTGGACCACTGGATGCCAGACAACTGGAGTTTTACTGTATTTTTGTTAGTCTTTAAGGTGCCACGGGACTGTAAGTTAAAAAAAGTATTTTGTGGCCTTTTCCACAGCTTTCTCTCATGCATTTGGCACTGGACACTATTAGAGAAAGAACTCCAGAGTAGGAAGTCGCTGGTCTGATTTGGTATGGCAATGCACATGTGCCTAGATCCACAAACTGCAATCAGCTTATAGACAGTTTTACATGTTGTACAATATTCCAAGCTGCTATCCATATAAAATTGTGTGTTGGCTAGTTAAAGCAGCTCTAACTGCATGGATACTGTGCTCCAACATGCAACATACAGCAGCATTCTGGAAGTCAGGACACCAGAATTCTCCTCTCATCTTTGCCATGGTACTAGGATAAGTCATAGTTCCCCATTTTGCACGATAGTATTGTGCTCTACCAATCAAGTGCTATACTATCTATTATTGCCTTGTTATTCAAATGATCAGAGTTTACCTTTCTGAGGATTCCTTCATTGCCTTCATCTCAGCTGCCTGCTTCTCCCTTGCTATTTCCATCAGTCTAGCAATTTGCTGTTTGATGGATCAAAACAAAAACCCAAGAGTATAGTCAGAATCTAACCAATAAAGATTTAAGTCTCCTACCACTGACCTGACCCCCCATTTCCAGCAGTCAATTAATCAACATAGTGTGGGAAATGTGATACTGTGTCTGCAAATTGTGACACTGTGGGCCAACTGTGGCACCATAGCACCATTGGTGGAATTGCACCATGGGTTATGTCTGGTGGACTGCACCATAGTACCATTGGTGGAATTGCACCATGGGTTATGTCACATATTTATAGGCTATACCATATGTGTATGTTCCTAGCCTTTAATTTGTGTGGGCAGATACAGGTGCCTCTGTTGCACTGGGCTCTGGATTGCACCGTAATGGTGGGCAATAATCGAGCTGTGGGTGACTTATTGGTTACCACTAGTGCACAGTTCTGGTAAGAGTGAGCTGCGCTCTGGCAATAGCCGGCTGGGGCACGCCGCTCTATCAGCCTCTTTTAATTTGCCTGGCTGCCTCCTGCAGAGCAGCGCACCCCCGCCAGCTATTACCAGAACTGTGCACTCGGGCGCACCCACTTACTTTCACCTCCCCTACAGCTCCCATTTGGCCTTGGCCCTGGCCCCATCCTGCTGCAGGAGTGGCTGGTGGTTGTCTCACTCCTACTGCAACAGCCCATCCCAACCCTTGATTATGAGGGACAGAATCAGACCTTGTCCAGCTGCCAGCTGTGTTAGCCCGGCCCTGGCCCCAATCCGGGGGAAGGCCCTATGGTCTGACCCCCATCTGGCCTCAGCCCACTCCTGCCACGGTGGCTCCCCCCCCCGCCCCCCCCCTCCTGAGGGGGG